AAAGCCCAAACCTAAACCACCGAGGGAATCGGAAGCAACGCCCTCCGCTCTGTGACAGGGCGCAGTGGATGAACCCGATCGGTTTTTTCCTTGGTTTCGGCTTTTCAACAGTTTGGCAACTGCTTGCCCAAATCAAAAAGATCCCAAAGCCCAAAACCGAAACCCTCAAGCGAGCCGGAAGCAAAACCATTCCGCTCCGCGACAGGGCGGAGCGGATAAACCCGACGGGTTTCCTTGGTTTCGGCTTTTCAGCAGTTTGGCAACCCCTTGCCCAAGTGGTAAAGAAGGAAAAACCCAAACCAAAAACCCTAATGGAAATCGAAAGCAAAACCACTCCGCTCCGGACAGAGCGGAGTGGATAGCATTTGCATCTTTTCGCCCTTTTGCCTCCACCAAAATCAGACCCGGCGCGCACAGGGAGTATGATCGTGGCGCGCAGACGTGTGGCGGCCTGGTTTCTCGTTGGTTGTTCGGTTCTGGTTCATCTTTTCCGTCTTCTGCCTTCCCCAACCAGCCGGGGCGCGCGGTGGGAGTATCTATCAGCGGGGCGCGCAGACGGCCGGGGGTTTGGTTTGTCCTCGGTTCGCTGGTTCTGGTTTATCTTTTCGCCTTTTTGTCCCCATTAAAATCAGCCCCGGCGCGCACGGGGACTATTATCGGGGTGCGCAGACGGTTGGCGGCCTGGTTTGTCTTTGGTTTTGGTTCATCTTTTCGCCTTCCGGCCTTTCCAAATCAGCCGAGGCGCGCACAGGGAGTACGATCGTGGCGCGCAGACGGGTGGCGGCCTGGTTTGTCTTTGGTTGTTTGGTTCTGGTTCATCTCTTCCCTCTTGTGCTTGTCCGCGGCAATTTTGCAGAAAACCCGGCCTCCCTTTTTGCAGGATCCTCGCTGAAATTTTGCAGGAATCTCTGCAAAATTTTGCAGGATCCCGGGGGCCGGCAATTTTGCAGAAACCCCGGGCCCCGTTTTTGCAGGATCCCCGCTGAAATTTTGCGGGAATCTCCGCAAAATTTTGCAGGATTCCGGGGTCCGGCAATTTTGCAAAAATCCCGGCCCCCCTTTTTGCAGGATCCCCGCTTAAATTTTGCAGGAATCTCTGCAAAATTTTGCAGGGTTCCGGGGCCCGGCAATTTTGCAGGATTCCGGGGCCCGGCAATTTTGCAGAAACCCCGGCCTCCCTTTTTGCAGGATCCCCGCTGAAATTTTGCAGGAATCTC